TATTTTGGGAAACTACCACATATTCTCGAGATGGTACTCTCAAGCAGGCGCTTACCCAGTGTCAGGGGCGCTTTACCCACAGAGTGCTATCTCACCTCTAAGTCGCAATAGCAGGCGATAATAGTGATAAAAATAGTTATAGCAATAATACTAACAATGCTAATAACGATCGTATTTTTTATACATGCCTACAAGACGATCTCTTTTGGGGGCACTGCACCTGATTGAATGGTTTGATTGGTTCGCTTTGGCGATCTGGCAGCCCAAGCACTGCACCCAAAAACCTGGACCAACGAAGCATCCTCTGTTCCTGAAAATGTGACCAAAACTCGTTGCCAATGGGGTATTTTGATTCGTGCAAGGGCCCTCTCAAGCAACAAGGTTGGTTGTATGGCAGGTCCGAGAGTTGGATCCATCAAGAACCTTCAACCCCAAACCCTAAACCCTAAATCAACTTATATGAAGGACCCAATCTGCCTCCTGCTCTGCCGTATAGACTCGCATGGGCTTGCTTCGAGCTGAATGGCGCGCTGGTACCTCTTTGGGATTCGAGGTTTAAGGTTGGATAATATTCTGTCTACTGCAGGGGGACCATAATACTTGGAGGTTCACTGGTCAATCTAGAGCTGGCCCCTCCCTTTCTCTATACCTCTGTATCTGTGCAAATGTCCATCTTCTCCCCTGCTCCCCGTCTCCCTTGCTCGCCCACTTGTTCACCGACCCCGGCACTCACTATCTCGCTCACTCATTCACGCTCTTGCTCAACTTTTGTTATAGAGAGAATGGGCTTTTGCGGCCTGAGCGCGGAATCATCTGGCTGATTCTTTGCCACTCATCAACCTATGACTTGAGAACCTTTGCAGGATTCAAACACATACGGTGGGCCAGAAGGAACCCAGGACTACGGCGGCGTTGCCTTCCCAAGAAGGTCTACACAAAACTGTCCCGTTGTTGACTTTCTATTGATTGTCGTCATCTTAGAGCCCAAGAAGGAAACTACGTCGCATTTCTTCTACAGCAATGCTGACCACGCACTAGGTACTAGGCCCACAAATATACCATCCCGCCGTCGGAACACAATTATGACAAGAACCACACTTATAATATAGTTGGAAATTATTCTTTGCTCAGGGACAATAATTGTCAGTTTGACTTTAACTGATTCTACATAGATTTTGAAACCAACATTTTGGCATTGTTCAAAAGGGCCCGCCCACCATGGAGCTAGATGAATCGAGGGGAGAGGGTTGTTCAAGCGAAGTCAGCATTGGCACAATGCAGCAAGTAATTTGCAATCCAAATTTGAGGTCGAGGATCTAGGGCATGGTTCTTCGAGTTTAGGGCTCAGGGCTTGAACCCTGAAACCCTAAACCGGCTTCGGGGAAGCTAAACCCTATGTATATGGAAGCTTTGTAGCTATCTAAGAAAACATGTGCCGTCAAATGCGATGCCACCCTGACCTTCACATCCCCACTATACACCATCATGCACCTATAACCCCCTATATAACCCTTTTAACCTGTTCTAATCCGAAATCCCTCAACGCTGAACAATGATCTTCAGAAGCAGCCAGTTGGATCGTTTGGGCCTGTGCGCTGGTGAAAACAAATGCTGGATGCAAGCTTGCCTCTTGTTCATGGGAAAGGGGCTGGGTTATGTAGGGGGTATAAGGCTTAGATATATGGGGACATATTATGTGTCATTAGGGATATACAGGGTTTAGGGGTTGTGGGTGGATATATATATATATGGGGGACATATGACAGGAGAATCAAATATACAACAGCCTCGAACATATAATTGAAGCCAGGAGCAGGTTTAGAGGGATAGGGGGTTCCAAAACTCCTGAATGATAGTAAGTGTGGGATTTTACGGTCCCTATTGGGGTCTCCCTGTTTTTAAAGCTGCCGAACGGGTGGGCAAAAGGTGGCCCAAAATTGGTACACGAAACATCAATCTTGAAACCCTACACTTTCTCATGCCGTCTATAAACCCAAGGGCTCCGATGTAGTTCTGTTTTGGTAGGGGATTATAATATACTACCCCAAAAGGAACTACATAGGAAGGTCTGGGTAAACCCTAAACCCTTGCTGCAACCAGCATGTGCAAGGCCCGGCGTCTCGCGTCTTCGTCGAGGCCGGACGGAGTGGCGTTCGCCAACACGTTGTGGCTCAGAGGACTGTTGAAGCAGCTATCATCTTGGTATGGTTAGGGTTTAGGGCTTTGGGTTTAGGGCCAGTCATGGCGGCATGCGGAACAAAGCTCAGAATCATTCTGGCCGTAGAACTTATAACGATTCTGAAGCACTATGCCATCGTACTTCAAGTGACATTGACAATACCTGCTAGTTCCCAAAACGGGCGGACCCCAATATAGACCCCCAAAATACGATTGTCCTTATTACTGGGACCCCTAAAAATACTACCCCTAATCTTGGGAAACCCTAAACCCTCATCCCTGAAGCCCATATAACCCCCATATCCCGCTTGAAAGGTCATTTGGGGAAATCCCCTGACCTAGGGCAGTCCAACGCCTCGCTGGCAGTGACAGGGCTTTACAGTACACCATAAGCCCCTAACCCCTAAACCCTAAAGAGGTTTAGAGTTTAGGGCTTAGGATTTAGGGTTTCACCTAAACCCTCAACTGCGAACCCTAAGCCCTAAACAGTAAACCCGAAACAGTTACCCATAAACTCTAAACACTAGAACCCGAAACAGTAGTCATAACAGTAGTAGCGCATTCAATGCTTGTGGGGTGGTAATGCAAGAAGCGGAAAGTACAAACCTCTGAGTTCGAGCAAGGGAAGAAGTGCAAATGTGAAAGGATGCCAGCCATATAAATGAGGACACAGACAATGATAGCAGGAATGAGAAGTATGAACTTGGTATGGGCAGTCATGCCGCAATCACTTCAAAACAGGAAGAACCTTAAACCCTAAACCCTATAACACCTATATAACCCCAATCTTTAACCCTATTATACTATGGTAGTTTCCATTTTCTTTTCCATTAAGTCAATGTCCGATAGCTGCTTGAGGAAGCCTCTGTGCTTTTCCTGGGATGCCAGTCCATCTCCTGCAGTGTCCTGTGCATGTGGCCTCAAGGTTTGTAAGTTCCAGCTGACTCACTGAATTCCCTGTATTGGGTTCAGGGTCTAGGGTGGGGGCGGGGGGTGACGGGGGGTAATTGGTGGAGGCTCTTGTCAGTTTGAGGCCTTGCCAGGATTCATCCAATACTACGTTGTGCTCAGCTCAGATGTCCATAAAAAACTACCTTCCCCAGTAACCCATTAAGAATACGGGCACCCTTTCTGCCTATCTTTCAGCTCTAATAAGGAGACCCCTAACATAAAAAGGGGAAAAGGGTATCACCGGGGTACCTAGTAAAACTCATTTCCCCTACAGGACCGACCGTGACCCATCATAGTTGCAACAGCGTCCAAACACCAATGCGAGAATCACTGCCCTGTATAATTCTTAGCCAACCCCCTAAATTTAAATGCGGTGTGAAAATATTACATTAGGGGGGGAAATGTTTAATGTTTAGGGCAAAAGATTAAGGGTTGCATGGCCTTCTTGGTCAGGAGGATTAGGGTTTAGGATGTAGGGTTTCGGGTTTCGGGTTTAGGTCATGCGCGGGAAATCTGATGATGTTAGACACAATAAAAGTGGGAATGGCTGCTGAGGTGATGAAGGCATGCAGCAACTTTGCCAGGTCGAAACTGCAGCCCACCCCTCTACATAGACTGTAGAACCCACATCTACAAAAGGTAATAACGGCTTTGGTTCCTGATAACTTTGAATGTTACTACATGTTTGTTGGTACTATCCGAGCATTAGCCATTCACGCTGAGGTGGCCAAATTCAGGATAGTCAGGGTATGAATAAACTGTCGCAAACCGAAAGCTGTCACAACAGCAGGACACACTTTGTGCAGTCTGCAGACGGCAAAATTTACAATAGATTCTTTTTCTGGTTAACACGTCGTGCATGTGAAACGTGGCAAGGTGAAACTTGAGACACAGCTGCTCATGGCAACAGTGGCAATTGCAATATATGTTGTGCTTGAGTGCTGCATTAGCCTTAGCGACTTGTATCTAGCACGTGAGCGCCCCAAGCTTGGTTTACTAAGATCCGCTTGTCTGCGTAGCAGTACCCGCAGCTCAGCAGAAATAGGCTACTACATATCAAAATCTATTTAAATTGTCACATGCGTCTACTTTCAAGGCCTTACACCCGGAAAACCCTCTCAGAGCGGTCAAAGCAGGAAGCTGCTAATCCAACATGCAACGCCGCGCTTATGCATAACTTGAGGGAGCTTGTTTAGCGGGATCTTATGCAC